GAGACTGTCTTATAATTTCAACACTGCCTGAGGATTCCTTTCTTTGGCAGGGTATTATCAATGATTGAGTCCTCTCATTAGGCCACTTTTCTGTTCCCAAATCTTCTGGCCTAGTTATGTTCAAGCTCCTTAATGCCAATTCAACCTCTTCTTTCAATTCTGATGGACTGGTTTCATCTTCTGTGGAGTGCTGGTCAGTTTGCAACATGGAGACATCTGGATGGAGCTGGTAATTGTATAAACCATCATAGTATTGAGTTTATCTATGGTAGACTTCCTCACTGTCCATCAGCAATTTACCATTCTCATCCTCTAAAACTGTTGCTCTTGACCAAAATTAAAAAGACTAATTAAATTAAGACCAGCCAGAATTATATATATATATATATATATATATAGATAGATAGATAGATAGATAGATAGATAGATCAAAAGCTATATATTGTCAGTGTGTACATAGAAAACAAGACTGCATGGTGAGTGTTAGTTTTACACACCATAAAATCACCAGAATACATGTGACTGCTTTTTGTGCAGGCTCCATATATACGCAATGTTGAATTCTATGACCATAGTGTTTACAAAAACTGCAATCTCCAATCTTAGATATACATATATAAGGAAAGCAAAGAGATAAGTAAAGATGAAAGGAAGCTACAGATTTTGGGATTGCTTTTTTTTTCCTACAGCTTATCAAACATTTGCATAAAGCCACAAAATATTTTCGGATTGTAAGAATTTGGGGGAAATAATAATAATTTACTGATACAAGCCACACTCTTTAACCTATAAGAAGTGTATTCATACATTTCCCAAGGGTATTTGTGCATAAGTGAATATAATGAATCATACTGGAATTAAAACTCGGCTCTACAAGAAAGAAAGATATAGAGAAGTGGACATGGTGACTGGATATCAAAAGACAATAAGTTAAAGAGGGAAAAGTATGGAGAGACAAAAAGGCATGAAAATTATCATTTTTATAGAAAGAGAAAGAGAGCAACAATAAAAGTAATTAATGCAGTAATTGATATTCACCAGTTTTGCTAGATTAGATAAAAGCATTGCTTCAACAAAAAAGACTGGGAGGTGAGAGGGAGAGAAAGAGAAGATACAGGTAATGTGTGAAAGAAGAGCAAAGGCAAAGGCATTGACACCAGTAGATATTTCCATTGGTCCGGGGGATAAGGGATTCAGGTAATGTGTGAAAGAAGAGCAAAGGCATGAGATAACGAATTCTATTGTCGACACCAGTAGATATTTCCATTGGTCCGGGGGATAAGGGAGAGAAAGAGAAGATACAGGTAATGTGTGAAAGAAGAGCAAAGGCATGAGATAACGGATTCTGTTGTTGACACCAGTAGAATTTCCATTGGTCCAGCTAGTGGGATAAGGGAGAGAATGAGAAGATACAGATAAATGATGCAAAAAGGGTAAAGGCATGAGATAATGGTTCATCTTAATTATCAACACCTGTAGAATTTCACTTGGTGTGGTTAATGGGATAAAGGAAGATCTAAAGAATGCTAATCCTAAAAAAAATAATTTAAAAAATATTTTCCCCTATTTTTTGTTATGAGAGGACCTGTTTATTTAAGTAGTGCCACTAAAGTATTTAGTTTGAAATTCCCTGAAGGTTACCCAGATCAACAAGCACCTGATGATACCTGGAGGGCACAATGATCAAAACATTGTGATAATGTTGCAGTATACCTACAGACAATAATGGGTATGTCTCCATTCACACAAATACAGTAGTAAATACTGTATGTTGGTCTGCAGTTGGGGATTCATTGTGGAATTCCCTTGACTCACTTCTAGCAGCTGACTGCTTTTACACACTGCTGGTGAATCTTATGTGTTGTTCTTGTCCTAAGTATTATCATTCATTACCAACTTTTGTGTGATTATTCTATTCAACAACCTTCCCTAGGTTACAACAGATAATAACAACAAAGATGAGGACAAAAGTGTGAATGTAAATAACATAAATAACTTATTTCATATGCATAATTTTTTGTGTGATGAATGATCTTGAAAACAAATAATTTCTCATTTTTTACATACTAATAAAACCCCAAAATAACAAAGTTTAACGAGGTGAGTTGGAAGATGAGACACAGCATTCAATTTTTGAACTTGTGTTTAAAGTTTTTCCCTGAAAATCTTGTGGCAATATCTGAGGAACAAAGTGAAAGATTTTATTACTATATCAAGGAAATGGGAAGACAGTACCAAAGACATTGAGATATTAATATAAAGATGGACTACTGCTGGATGTTCGATTGGCATGCAACAGAAAAAAATCTACCTAATAAATAAAATTTTCAAGCAAATCATCAAAACATTTCAGTTATTTTTCAACATAATTTTATTTAGATCAACAATCGCTGACAATGAGTAGACAATTCAGATTTTCAAAAAGAATAAAAGGAAAGAATTTTTCAGATTTAAATTTACATTACTTCTGCTTCAGAAGATCAAATCTAACATCATTTACATTCAAATTATTGTTCACAATTTTGTTTTTATAATCTCAATATTTCAGCTTTTGTGCCCTACAACCTTCTTTAAGAGTCAATCCAGGTAACCATCAAGAGAATTTCAAACTGTACCCTTTATGGAGGCATGATTGAGTAATGGACAGCAGCTCAACTTTAGGAATCGGAGAGCTGAGTTTGAATTCCAGCTGAATCCATTCCATTCACTTATGTGCTCATACCTTTCAGAAAGGTATGAATATTCTTTTACTACCCACCCCCACCAGCTATGGGTAAATAACAGGATAGATCAAGTTCAATAGCCTTGGATGGCAACTAATCTACTGCAGAAAGAAATAGCAACCTGCTGTGGGAAAATAAAAATCTGCCTTGTCAGTCATGTATTGAAAGATACATAATCACCTAAGTGTGTATCACACATGGCTCATAACTGACCCTTTATTTAAACTCTGGGTTAGATTGTTCTCATTCTACTGTCCATATCTAGAGAGATCCCATCCTACTGGACAATAGCTTCACGGATGAATTTGGTGGTGTAGTAGTTGTGAGTTCAATCCCTGAGCCAGTTGGATGTGCAGATGATGTAATAGACAGCAATGAGAAATTAGAGAACCAAGTCTGAATTCCCATCACTTTCTTTACATCCATTTATGTAAATGGTTATGGGAAAGGTGTGAATTTGCCTCCTCTCCCCAGTTATGGGTTAAATAGTAGGACTTGTATCTGGGAAAATCACTTTTATTATCAAAAAAACTTTAATGTAATATTCACTTGCAAAAAAAAAAGAAAAGAGTTATTCTTACAACCTGAAATATGTTTTGGCTTTAAATAACCTACAAAGGGTTGGTAAACTGTAAAAATTAAATTAATCAATAAAAAATAACTATTAATAATTCAGTGGAAGCAGTTTGTGCAATAATTGATCAGTACTAAATTAGAACATTGCTTAGTTTTTACACAGTAGTTGCAGCATACACAGTGGTTTAAAGAATATGTTTCTTAACTTCACTAATGGAAGGATTTAAAGTTCATTTATGTCATATTGTTATTGGAGTTCAAACAAGGAAATAACGCTAGAGTGACATTGAGAAAAATAGTTAATGTTTATAGTCAAAGGATCATAACCAGGGCCAGTACATACTACCCATGAATCCTTCAAACAGGGTGGTTCAAGCCTGACTTGGGGACCCCAGGTAGTGCTTTGTGACCCTCATTATCTTATCAATATTTTTTTTTTCTACTTACATTTACATACATTACCAATTAAACTAAGCACATCTGACAATTAAAGTTTTAAAAAATTCTGCAGATTTTGATGACACCCTTGGTCTTTTTTTATTTTTTGTCAAAATCCATGAATTTGTTTAGCACATGATAAGTCTTGAAAAAAACACTATATAAAATTCACTATTTTTCATCCATAATGTTGAATGTGCTAAATTATTGAACTTTTTAACAAGAAAAATCTGATGTTTATGTTAAAAATTGGTACAAAACATGAATCATTTATTTAAGGTGGAATGATCTATTATGACATGTCTCTTATTTAAGATGGAATGATCTATTATGACATGTCTTTAATTTGTATTTATATGCATAGTATTTATTTTCAATTTTTCTAGTTGAATTGTTCACCTATATTGCATATGATCTGTTCTTGTACATAATTAGGTTACAATAAAATTTATATTTTATGCAAATATTACCTATTGAAAGTTGAGATGTAGTAGCAGGGGTATCATTGATCGGGCAGGGACAGGACCCTTGCATTGGACCTGATCTTAAGAGACCAGCAAGTATAAATTGGTTTGTAAAATTTTCTTCTCAAGAAATGTCATTGAAAGATATGCACAAAGAGATGCATTCATCGGACTAAGATGAAGAAGCTCTAAAATTATTGGTAGAAGGCAATCTGTGGCAAAGTACTTGGGAATTAGCAAAAGTGTTAAACAGATCACAATCTACCATATGCTGACACTTAGAAAAGATAAGGAGAGTCAGCAAGCAGAGTGTTTTGGTTCCACATGCTCTTAGCAAAAAGATGAAAGTGGATTGTTTATTGATAGTGACAAGTTTTCTTTTCCCATCAGAGAAATAACCCATTTCTTAAATATCTCACAACAGACGAGGAAAAATAGGTTACATGCAAAAATGCTCAATGCAAAAGAAGTGGATTAACAAGGATTAATCTCCACAACCAACTCCAAAAATGTTAAAAATGTTGTGGGATCATAGGGGTATTATTCATTTAGAGTTCTTAAAATGCAATGAAACATTAAATGCACATTTATACGTCCAGCAGCTGCAACATGTCTGTAAATGTGTTCTGGTTCCATACATTCTTAGCCCAAAGAAAAATCAACTAAGTGATTTGTCTTTGTACAGCTTATTTAAAACTGTAACATACTTCAGAGTGTAAGATAATAATTTTTTTTTTTTGCAAGGGAACACTGCATTAAGAATTTTTCCAAGCGCAAACCCTATTTAACCAAGGCTTACAGCCACATCACATTAAAACACTGGTTCCTGTATGATCACTGAAGTTAAGCAACATCAAGCCTAGTCAGTAACTAGATGGGTGACTATTTGGGAATACCAGATGATGTAAGTTTGGATATGGAGGTGATGTTATGAATAATGGCTCAGAATTGTTAGTCAGAGAGCTGAGACACAATTGCTGTTGAGTCATTATATTCATTTATGTGCAAATACCCTTGGGAAAGGTATGAATTCACCTCTTTTCCCCCCATCTAAGGGTTAATTAGTAAGACTTGTATCACTAAATCATTATTATCTAAAAAAAACATACTAATAACAATCTAAAAATGTTTTCTGTCTTTAAATAACCTGCGAAGTGTTGATAAGCTGTAAAAAATGAATCAATGAACTAATCAATCATACTGTAAGAATAATAATTTTCTTTTTAAGTGAATATTATATTAAGAATTTTTTCCAGGCATGTCCTGCTATTTAACCTGTTACTGGGGGGGAGATGAATTCCTAAATTTGCATATTTGAAATATGAACTTGTCTCTCAGATTTCTCATTCTATGCTGGTATCCTTTACACCACCAGAAAATCCATCAAAAAAAAAAAAAACATGGCTCATTGATAAACAAAAACAGAAATTATTTATTACTCAACCTAACAAAAAGCAACTAAGATGAAAGTAAGTATTAATCAAAATTAATGATGATGATAATAATAGTAAGACTAAAATATATGTAATATTAAGAACAGCTTTATTTCAGAATATCAAATAATAAGTGACATCATAAGAAGAAGCAACACTATCACAGATTGAGCGAAAGTAATTCCTAATAGATTTTCAATAAAGATTTCAAACTTTTTATTATTTACGTGGAAAGCAACAATGTAATGCTGTTCAATTTAAAAGGAATTTGTTTTTCTAATCTGTTGCCTATCAATTTTAACTCACATCTATCTGTCTCAAATATGCATTTTGGTAATAACTTTTGCACTCTTTTAAGATTACAGGAAATGCTGGTGAGTAATTCATTTAAAAGCAAGTGAAGAACAATTGAAAACAAAAATCTTTATAGTGAAACTAAAATCTAAATATTAATGCAAGTGCATTTTGATTTAAAACAGAAAATCTTAAATGACAAGCATCATACCGATCAAAAATGACAGAATTATTTACATATGGATCAAAAATTCTGTCTAAGAATAGAATATATATCTGCATACAACTTAGAGTCAAATTGATGTATTTCTTCATTTTGCTCAGTATATTATCTGTGCAGGATCTAAGTGTTGCTACCAGTTCTCTTTCATGGATCAATACCTGGGATCGGAGTATCTGTTCCATCTGCTAAGGATGAGTGTTGTATCTGTTCTGGTTCCTCTGCTATATTCTCATAATGTGATGCAAGACAAAGCAACATATTCTCTCTGAAGATAGTTCATGGACAGCAATAGATAGAAGTTTGGTCCTGGTGATTCCAGTACATCCCTCACTGCACCAATGGAAGAGGGAAATGTTTGTAGCTCACATGTACTTCACCATGAGAGAGGGTAGGTAAATAAAGGATCAGGGTAACATCAGTGCATCCTGTCTAGTATTGAAGTGTTGCTTCCAGGCACTTCTGTCAAGGATTTGCATAATATCACTAGCTAATTTAGTATTTGCTACAAGTAATTTTACTATGTAGTCCAAGCAGCTTATTGTTGGTATGACTGATATATCACTTGCTTACTTACTTCCAGTTATGTTTTAGTAGGTCAGATCTTCTGGACAGAGAAACAAAGAGAAACTTTCAAATTGGTCATTATTCTGTGACTCATTTTGTCCTTTTTCAAAAGACTTATGTATTTTTCTTGTATATTTCTTAGGCTGAGAAAATTGACTTTGATTTCATAATTTGTGTAATGCATTAAGAAACAAATAATAAACAGGTAGCTATCTAGTAATAAAAAATGATTCAAATTTCTTTCTTATTATTACTTGAGTCTGCAAAAAGGCTGCATCATCCAGACTAGTATAGAGTTCAATATGATAAAGCCAATAATACATAAGTAAAAAGAAACCAAAAAGTTGGAAAAATTGTATTGTAATGTCTCACTAGAGTACTGACATAATGAGCATCTGTGTTTCTCTTTTTTATATATATATATATATATATATATATATATATATTTTTTGAACAATAAGAAAATAAAAATTAAAAATTAAAATCATTAGACACACTGGGTTGTAGATTAATATTCTTTCATTTTTTTTTTATTATTATTATTCCATTTAGATATTATTATTATTCCATTTAGATATATATATATATATATATATATATATATATGTGTGTGTGTGTGTGTATTCTCCAAATAAAGCCCTGTACTGATAAATCATCAGTTACCTCCCCTTAAGATCTAGGAGGTATAAAAAGCACCTTGTAATATGCATCAGTAGACAAGTAGTCAGAGTAAAGTGCAATAAAGCTTTGGTACAAGTTTATTCACTGGTTTTGTTTTTACTACAAGCTCTACCAATACTAAGCTTGTCAAGCAAAAAAAAAAAAAATGAAATGGCAAAAAAAAGAAAAAGCAAAATTCAGAGACCAGGCCCAAATTGTTAATCTGAGTTTCATGCAGAGTATATGTCTGACAAAAAGAACGACTTCTTGTCATCTGATGAATACCGTGTGAAACTCAGATTCAAGATTTGTACCTAGACACTTCATTCTTCTTCTTTAGTTTTATATATATATATATATATATATATATATAGAGAGAGAGAGAGAGAAGATACAGGGGAAACTAAAAAGTTCTTTGCCTAAATCACTTTCTAATATATAACAAAACATCAGATTTTTGTTACAACTACTTTATCAGGTCAAGAAATTTTCAACTCACACACACACACACACACACATCCCTAAATCCCTAATGAATATAGCAAACTTTAAAAAATATATATATATATATATATATATATATATATATATAATTGGCACTTAGCTATTTGATGTTATATACAGCCTCCCAGCAGAAATCTGTGATACCCAAATATACAACTATTTATCACATGAAACTTCTTTGGGATTAATTATACAACAGAGGATGTTCCAGTTCCTTCTAAAGTCTACTTTATACTTCTAATGTCTCTGCATAAACTCTGAAATTTTATTTACTATTTTTTTCCTCAGTAGGAGGAGATAGGTATGCCTATCATCTGATTCACACTCTTCAAAAGGTCTTTTGAACAGAAGTAGAGGTTTATCCCTTGTTTCTTGTTTAGGATAGGCTTTCCTTCTAAAGCCTTTTCATCCTTTTTCACTCCCAGTATCGCTTTGTGTCTTAGTGGCATTATCACCTTGCTTGGGGTGAAGTGATAAAAAAAAACCCCACTAAAACAGATTGATTAAAATGTAGCAAATATACCAAAATGTCTGAGATTATTTATCTAAACAATTTATAAATTAAGGGTAATGACAGATCTCATTTCAGACACTGTAAAAATAGATCAATGAAACACATGATAAAATTCTGTAGGAGGAGGAGAGTTGCACTCTGCTACATTTAGATTAATGACAATATCTTATCTTCAAACATCTTCTCTTGGTTTACAAGATGTTTTTCTGGATACATATCAATCATTGGCATCAAAATACTGATATAACTCTTTTAATGCTCTACTGATGGTTCTGTAGTGGTTATGCCAGAAAGAAAATATTTTAAACCTCGGAACCATTAGAATTCTGCTGGTCAAATTTGATCATTACTGGAAATTGACTGTTTATTCTCATCAGCATCAAAATCTGGTTTCAAGTCAGTCAGTTATATGCCATATGTGATACATGCTTAGGCGATCATGTATCTTTTGATACATGACTGATGAGGCAGATTTTTTCCTGCAGTAGTTTGCCATTTCTTTCTGCAGTAGACCAGTTGCCATACAAGGCTATAGAATCTGGTCTGCCCTGCTATTTACCCACAGCTGGAGGGAGAAGAAGAGGATTCATAGCTTTCCCAAGGGTATTAGCACATAAGTGAATGTGATGGATTCGACTGGAATTTGAACTCGGCTCTCTCTCTCTCCTGCTATCCATTACTCCACCATGCCTCCTTCAAGTATATTTCTATTTAACTGGTATATTTCCTCTTAGACTGTTCTAAAAGTAATGTCACATTTATGACTTGAAATCAAAATGTATTCAAATAAAACAAGTTAAATTTGTCAAGAATACAATCATTATTATGAACGATTATAAAAAAAATAACTTTAAAACTAATTCTTTTTTTTCCTTGAGAAAACAAAATCTGGGATTATGAACAAAAAAGAATTCTCATTAGACTGAACTGATCTCTTCTTTACTATAAATACTATGCTGATAAATAATGTGATCAGATTAAATGGATATTGTCATATCCTGTCGACACTCCCACATTTTTTAAAAACAACTGGAAAAAAATAGCATAACCAGCATCGTAGTAAGACTGATTCAGGATATAGAAAGGCCTGAAAGCAACGAAAAAAAAAGCATTCTGCAGTCAAGACGATGAAGGTCAAAGACATTTGTATATATTGAAAAAAATCTTTATGTGATGCATGTCTTTTAGTAGGAACCCCTCCTCACTTTGAGTATGCAATATTGTGGCATATGTCCGATGAATGGAGATGAATGAATTCTTGTGGTGTTTGAGTAAACTGTAATGAATGAATGGGTCGCAAATTAGATTAGCTTGGTTTAGGATAGTCAGTGATGCCCAACGTAATCCCACTTCTCCCTCACCCATGTACCACAGTTGTATTCTTTATGCAATAAATAATAAGATGACAAGGATCAAAGTGTTGTATCCATCCCAGCAGCCAATCGACAGCTCCAGCTGTCTGCAGCAGTTCCAACAAGCCAGCCATCATCATCATCTCCAGCTCGCCATCAGCCACTGCTCCAGCCATCTCTAGTAGGCCTCCAGCTCTTGCCACTCCAGATATCCTCACCAGCAGCAATGATATGCAATAAACTGTGCTCTCCAGTGACCACAAAATCATCAAGTGCTAAGACAGTTAAATTAGGAGTATCTTTATTACATTGGTTTCTGTCAGTCATCTACTTTATAATCTCTTAATTAATTAAACTATTTTCA